ATTTCCTAGGAACTTTCTGCAATAGTGGAGAGGTACTAGTCTTTGAAAAATGACAGTTAATTAGTAATTTGAGATGAGGATATCTTCAGTAAAGTTAGCAAACTTACTATGTATACACATAGAAAATTAAAAAATAAATGATATATAGCAATATTTTGAATAAAATGAGAAGCCTAGAATTAATTTCTTCTTAGAGCATTTCAAAATGCATTATACAAAATATTATGATAATAAAGTGTAATGGACAATTATCTCTATATTCAAGGAAGCATTTATGTAGTAAACAAGGTCTTCTTGCGAAGTTACGCTTGGGACACTTCAAAGTAAAGCTAAAGGCAATTGATTCCTAGCTATATTTTAACATCATTCTGCCAAAGAAAGTCATTAAGACGGTCCTAATATTGTTTGACTGAAATAGGAAAGAAATGTTGCCACTAACTGCTATGCTGTATCCTGGGCTTTTAATCTGTATAGAATTGTGAAGAAGGCTAGTGAGTGAAAAATAAAAGCTGAATATGTTAAAACATATTATGCTAAAAATTATGTACCTTAAACCAAGCTGTAAGTTTTAATTGGGAAATGTAATGCTAATGGAAAATAGTTCTAAGGTTTATATGCAAAACTAAACTAAAAATAATTATATGTTTGGAAAAGAAAATGTCTTAAAATAGATGCCTAGAGCTTTTTACTGAAGACTAATTTTCAAAAATATGAATTCATAAACTTTCCTTTTAGTTGAATTTATAAAATTTTGACAATTTACAGAGAACAAAATTTACTTTTGTTTAAACAAAAACAAAAGGCAAATCAAATAATCATTTATTTACCATGTTTGAATTATTTTAAATTTCATGTTAACAGATATCTGGACTAAAGAGGGAAATGTATAAGCTTGATATTAGTTAATTCATTATAAAATGTTTACTGAGTGCCCTACTCTGTGTCCTGTGGTGTCAGACTCAGATATAGAAGAGAAAAAGACAGTAGTGTCTTTACCTTCATATCTGTGTTTTGGAGTGTTAAGACGTATATAGAGAAAGAGAGAGAGAAAGAGGGAAGTAAGAAAGAGTGAATTAATTATTCATGGTTAGATCATATCTGAAAAAAAAACATGAATTTAGTTTTGACAGAGTGACATAGCAATCAATGCAGTGAATCAAGGAGTCCTACCCACAGATCCACGCATCACTGACAGCGTCATGCTAATAAGAAGGCAGAGGTACACACAGGCAGAGGGGATGTTCATATGGTCAGGGTGGTATTTTGTGAGCTTGAGAAAATCCGTTTTTTTGGCTGGTCTTCAGTTTTCTCATTTCTAAAATGAATAGTAGAACCAGGTCTTTTAAGGCCCCTTCTGATGTTTTATATTGCATATGAGATGGCTGAGGTGGAGAGAGAGCTCCAGTTCTTACTCTAGATCAGGTAACCAGTGTGCCAGGGGTTAAATCTCAGCTTATACATCTATATACTGTAAGAACTGGGACTAATTCTAGGGCTTCAGGCTGATAATCTTTCCTCTGTACAAGACCAGTTGAGTATTTCTACCCAGGCCTCTACTAGAAAGTTCCTTCCCTCTGTACTTTAGCCTCAGTAGTTCAATCTTTGTGTAGAAACATACACAGACACAGTAGTGAAAAAAGAACTAGATAATAGGCACCCCCGTAACTTGAAAGGTCAAAGTCAACTTTGTTCACTTGATGATTCCTTATGTGTATTGAGGGACATGATATAAGGGGAGATTTTACTCTAGGCTATGTGCCCTGAATCAGTGTTTTCAAGTTGTGAAGGCAAATGAAGTGCCGTATAGGGTAGGGGATTGGAAATGAGATCAATACTGACAAGGTAAGAGACAATAGGAGCTTGGGACAAGGAACCTAATAGTGCAGTGAGAAGCAGGCTGGGAGAAAATAGTTCGTAATGGCTTGAGTTAGGACAAGTTGGTAACTCCATGGCACATACGTGGATGTGAAAATAAGTCTTTTTTCTTTTCCACTTGCAAAGCCTGGCCAGGCATGGGATTAGAATGCAGTTGACTTGGAATTTTCAGTGCCCAGTGGGAAAATGAGCAAGACCAAGTATTTGGGAGAGAAATCAAATCACTCCAAGCTGAGTGGGTATCCAATTCTTTCATATTTGCATATCAAGGCAAAGAAATAGGAATAATGAGGAATCAAAACTAGAAAAAAGCCTAGACTCAGAGGGTGGCTCTTGAGGAAGCGCTGGACCTAAGAACAGAGCTACACCCATCATACTGCATTCAGTGGCCACATTTCCAGAACGGCCAGGCACCACACTTGCAGTAATCAAAGGATCAGCTAATACTTTTATCAAACCACAGGATCATAGGAAATCCAACAAAACTGAACTGAAAATATTGTGGTTTCTGCCTGCACCCTTCATTAATCTTGACATTTGCACAAGTACCTAGGAGTATACCTGCTATGATCTTAAGTTTTGATGAGTATTAGTTTTTCTTTATTCCCTTGTTTCTTCTTCGTAGGTAAGACATTTGCTGAGGACAGCAAGATGTTTCCCTTGCTCCTTTGTATTAACAGGGAAGAAAAAGTTGGAAGAATTCAAAGTTTCATTTCGGCTAGTCAATGTGAAATAAATGAAATATTTTTGTTTGTTTAGTAGCATATTTGTCTAAATAGGAGCAGATACTTATGAAAACTATGTATATATTGCCTATTCGATTTTTCTGAATGGCTTATGGCCATAATTATTTAAATTAAGGTCTTTCTGTTCATTCATTAGAGGTAGAAAATGTGAGTCTTCATTTATATTTTGGACACTTGAAAAGAGAAATAAATAAAATCCCACCACGATAGATTCTAACATCAAAGAAAGTTACAGTTTTTCTTTTCTTAATTGAGAATATTCAGAGAAGTAAGATGCTTATGCACAGACTTTGAAATTATCACCCGAAGCAGTAACTATAAAGTTGTCTTGTCAAGTGCTGCTTGGCTTGCAGTTTTAATAATATCTGTGATACCTTGGACTTTGTACAAAGACTGTGATTTGCCTGCCTTATAATCTTGGAAGATGCTGCTATTTCCGATTTCTTTTACTTGTCCAATTCCTTTGACTTGCTAGCAGGGTCCTGTTGGAATATCTATTGGAATATATGATGCAGAAATCGGTCTTCTATAAATGATTTAAGGCCAAAGATTTGAAATATGTTTGTGTTTTGTATTGGAAGACTATTATAAAATAAGAGAATCTAAATCAGAGCTAACATAGCATTTTGGTTTTTGTTTTTCAGAGAAGAGCTTTTTTTTTAATGCTCTTTTCCATTTTACTAACTTAAAGAAAATACATTTAATTAATCTTATTGCAGTAAGTTGATCATTTTTGTTGTTTTCATTTGTTTTTTTTGCATGAAATATTAATCATGACATTCATTAACCATTTATAATAAAGAGATTGATACCTGAATGGCTTTAGGAAGAAACTGTAAGTCATTTAATGAGAGAGTGCTGACATTGAAAGCTGATTTAAAAAATCAGAGACTAAGTACAGTTTATATACATTTTTTGAGAGAGCAAAAGTGAGATTAAATGAGTGAACTAAGGCTTTACATAGCACCCTAATGTGGGAGTTGTTAGGGAAGATAAAATCTTGATGTCTCTCTCGTGATTTTAGGGGGCTCAGCAGTTTTCCTTCATTAGCACCTTTTACTTTTGTCTGTCTGATGGCAGCTGGAATTCTGAGAGGGGCCATCTGAGATGTACGATTTATGTGCATCCCTCGTGCCTCCATATTTTTCACATCTTTGTCAGTTGAACAGAATCAAGAAATAATGCTCCATTTAATTTCATGTCTAAAGAAATGAGGTTCTATGAAGTTTATTGTCTTTGATAGTTAATGTTTGAAATCACATTCTGGATTTACTGCAAGTCAGTATGTGTGGTTTCATTGCTCTATGTGTTTCAGGACAATTTTTAAAGATTTAAAACAAAATTTTACATAGTTTTGTACACACAGATTCTAGACAGATTTTAAAAAAAGTCCTAAGTTATAATAACATCTTTATGAAGAATAAAAATCTGGTTTTACATTGTTTAGGAAGTGGTTATGGGACATTGACATTCTCAAAACTGTAGTATTTTACTTGGAAAGAGAGAAGTTTAGATCTATTCTTTGGCTGAATAATACTTTAGAAGCTATATAAATCATACTAATTTTTCTACACCCCATATATATTCAGACCTTCTACAGTCATTGTACATAAAATAATGCATTAGTAACAAAGAATGGATGCATTCCCAGGATATGTAACAAAAATCAATTAATATTTGAAATGACAAGCCTCTCTATATTGCTCATCTATAATTTTTATCTTTATTTTCTTTCTGTCTCTAGATTCATGGATAAATATACTGTGTTATCCAATTTATAAAAATACTTTGTTATCCAGTCTAAACAGATTGGTTCAATGGAATAAACATCTATTATTAGTTTTAAGCTAATGTGTTTTCTTCCACATTTTATTACACTGATGTGTTATTTATGATATGACAGAATTAAATAAATGTGGATTCGCATGTTACAATTTTCTCCTTTCTTTTCAATATTTACTGTTTTTTTCTCATTATCTTCTAAAAAATGCACTTCCTTTTTTCTCTCAAACTTTATCTACCCTGTTAGTTTATGTACTTAAATTTAGTCCAAATATACATACTTTTCTTTCACTGCTCCTTGTTAATTACATTGGCATTCAATTTTCTTTTATTTTTACTCTGAGATACATGATTTTTTCTGGAGAATATCATTCATATGTTTTCACCTTTGAGTTACATTGGAAACAATGGCTAATGCATTGTTAATGTACTTACTTTAAAAATGAAAATAACTTTTTATTCTCACTGTATAGCTCCTTCTATTAATACTGTATATTGAGGCTACAGAAATTTCTACACATGAATTAGTTTTCTTTGACAATTTTTACCGGTTATCTTCTAATTTAAAAAAAAAATTGTCTATTTTGTATTATACAGTGGGAAGAGATTGGTGAAGTTGATGAAAATTATGCCCCTATCCACACATACCAAGTATGCAAAGTTATGGAACAGAATCAGAATAACTGGCTTTTGACCAGTTGGATCTCCAATGAAGGTGCTTCCAGAATCTTCATAGAACTCAAGTTTACTCTGCGGGACTGCAATAGCCTTCCTGGAGGACTGGGAACCTGTAAGGAAACTTTCAACATGTATTACTTTGAGTCAGATGATGAGAATGGGAGAAACATCAAGGAAAACCAGTACATCAAAATTGATACCATTGCTGCCGACGAAAGCTTTACAGAACTTGATCTTGGTGACCGTGTCATGAAACTGAATACAGAGGTCAGAGATGTAGGACCTCTAAGCAAAAAGGGATTTTACCTTGCTTTTCAAGATGTGGGTGCTTGCATTGCTCTGGTTTCCGTACGTGTGTACTATAAAAAATGCCCTTCGGTGGTACGACACTTGGCTGTCTTCCCGGACACAATCACTGGAGCTGATTCTTCTCAGTTGCTTGAAGTGTCGGGCTCCTGTGTCAACCATTCGGTGACTGATGAACCACCCAAAATGCACTGCAGCGCAGAAGGGGAGTGGCTGGTGCCCATCGGGAAATGTATGTGCAAGGCAGGATATGAAGAGAAAAACGGCACCTGTCAAGGTAAGAGTATGCCTGTGCATCTGCAGGGGCGGTCTGCTTCAGTTGGATCATGTATACGTATTTCTTCCAATGATTATGAGCAAATGACCTTTTACATTGCTAATTTATGGAGATTATTTCTCTTCAAGTTTGATTTCTCTCTTCTCAGAATTTTAAAGCTTCTGGCAATGATGAAAGATTTAATGTAATATTTTAGTGGGTTTACATAATTAATACTCAGTGTCTTACTTGCAGTGTAATATTTCATATTCATTTGGCTTTCAGAAAGTTTTATTTTCAAACAACTCAAGCCAAAGGATTATTTCCTTGTGTATCACTTTTCTTTGTGTGATTATTGTCCACTGCTGCCATTTTCTCTCCATGAAGAAAAATCAGCACCCTTTACTTGCTATATGAAATTCAGATGCAAACCTTAGATGAGACTTGTTTTGGCATGCTTTTAACTGCTTTTTAAAAATTCTTCAGATGTAAGTTCAGCCTTATGAACTTCATAGGAAAATGTTTGTAAGCTGACAGAACTTAGTTTACTATGTTGTTTACATATAATTGCTATTACATGCTTGCTTTTAAGAATTTACAGGCCAATTTTAAACGCATAATAAGTAGTGCCCAAGAACATGACCATTTAGAGATAAAGCCAATACAGAAAGGTCATTTTAAAGCAATTTGCACTTTGGAGATTCTTTTTCTCTTTTAATTTTTCTTTTAAATTGAAATTTGATCATGCATGCTTCTTCTTCGTTTGAAAATATCCTCATCTTGCCCCCAGTGTGGTGAGTTGCCCTTTTAAACTTGGATATTTATTGATAGATTTTTGGAACAGGATAATACTTTATGACAAAGTGAGAAACAGCTTATGAAGAAGAGAAAATGTTTTCCTTAAAAGAAAACCATCCTTATGAACCTGAATTTGTTTTCAGCATAATGTGCACGTGCCAAATAGGTAATAAGAGTTAATGTGTATTAACTGAGGAGAAAACCAAATACTAAGAAGTCCCCTGATCCCACTGGTAGCTTTATGTGCATTTTTTTTTCTAAATCCAGTATATAATGTGAATCAAACTTGCTCAAGTTTGTTCAGGCTTAACTGTAGATTGACTGTAGATCCAGGGAAACAAAACTAGGGAAATTACCTGCAAATCACATTGACTTTGCCTAGTTATTTCTCTCTGGAAGCATATTGTACCATATTTAAATTTCCTTTTCAGCATCACCTAATATTTGATTGCCATCTACAATTAAGCACATGGTTGTTTTTCCCTGTAATCTACAACTCTCTATTCCTTTATATGTATACATAACATTTTATTAAATCAAAATTGTGTTTTGGATATGCTTTTAAGTTTGTCAGGGAAATAAATCATATTTTATTTAGGATTGGATTTAAAGCAAAGTTCTAACTAACTTTACCTTAACTCTTCTTTTTGAGCAGTCTTCTTGCTGTAAGGTGAAGATATATGTTATCATAGAATCAGAAGCAGAAATTAAATATAATCCCTTGAATATATTTCATTCGTTTTTCTAAAATATTTACTATATAAATCTTAGTATTTCTAAGAATTTGCTTACTAGTATTGTAAAACAGCATGCTCTATTTGAGTATTTGTTTACATCATTTTAGAGAATGATATGTGGTAACTTAGCTCAGAATACAATGACCTTTATCTTCATCCAGATTGATTCATGGCATAGAGGACCTCTGCATTTAGAGGATATTTTATGATTGTTGCTGGGATTAAAATATTCTGCAGGTGCTTATCATGAAAGTATTTTGGGGAAGTAGTGTTCTGACAGAATGTTTTTTTAGTGCAAGCATTTTCTGCATATCTTTCTCTTCTCATACCCTTACTACTTGAGAAGTAGAGGCCTGCGAGCAGAAGAGGTGAGCTGGAAAGGCTGCCTTGTAGGAAACTTACGTAACTGGATTCTGTCTTGATGCGTCCGTCACCCGCTCTGGTAGGAGAAACAAAGGCTGTGGGTCATGAAGGATATAGACTACAGAGCTCCAGAGGGCATTCTGCACAGTGTCGTCTATGTGAATAGTGCCTCTTGACGTTGTCCCCTGTACAGATGATATGTGGCTGTTCTAGGAGGAATTTCAAATGCCTATAAATAACTTAACTTATTGAATGAATAAATAAATGCAGAAGGTTTTTTATGGAGAATTAAAGCATCACAGATATCCCCACAATGTTTAAACCCATACATAATGTGTTCATGCAAATGTAAATGTATGTGTGTGTGTATTACATAAAATTCTACCATAGCTCTGACTCATTCTTTGATTTTAACCTACTGTCCCCAAAACTTTAAGTAGGGATCTTGATGTTCTGAGAATTTGTGATAGGCCAAAAATATAGGAATCATTCTTGACATCTCCTTCCTACTCACTACTCAGTTCTCATCCATCACAAAGTATTTATAGAAATGACCACCCAGCTATCTCATAAAAACCACCCATATCTCTGTTTCCTTTTCCCTCCAGTCTGTAAGTGTATCTTATTGGAACTTTATTTTTAAATATAATGAATGACTTTGTATATAGTTTCACTTTTTGAACCACGTGAGTATATCACCTCTGCAAACATGCAAATCTGGTCGTTCCACACACCCGTCCTCTTTAGTCCCCACCTATTCCCAACACACTTACTTTGAACACTTTAATGATTTCCTTTAAATAAAGATTTTAAAGTAGCCTAAGATCCTGCATGGCTTTGCTCCTGTTCTCTCTCTAGACACATCTTAAACTAGGCTTCCTTTCCTCCCATCTGCATGAGCCACCCTGGCTCTCTTTTAGTTTCTCAAAGGCAATTTGCTCACTTTCATTACTCGTCCACCTATGATTCTGTTCCTTTCCACAGGAACATTCTTTTATCTCCATTATGCCCGATTAACTCACACTAATCCTTCAGATCTGTGCTCTGTCACGCCTTCCTCAAAAAAGCTGTTCCTGACCCTTGAAGACTGGGTCAGGCTCTGTTATTTATTCATATATTTTTCCTTCATAGAATTATGTAGAGTTATGATTTTGTACATGTTTGTTCATTTATTATTTGATTAATAACTCACTCCCCACCCTCATTGGACCACATACTCCTTGACAGTAGTGGTATATGTTGTGTTAAGGAATGAGAAATCAAAAGGCAAGAGGTAAGGAAAATGAATCAAAAGAGGTAATAGAATGGGCAAAGACACAAAAGAGTACTGTGTTTTAAAATTATTGGTTGATCTTTACCTTTGTATTTATGTGTAGAAAATATCTTTGGTCACAGAATTGACAAATACGTCTTTTAAATTAATGTTTACTTAGTCCTAAGATTTTCAGGCTAAATTTTCAAGTTCTAGGTATTAAATTATATGTGATTGTCATATGATATATTAACTATGACAGAGGTCATCTTGGTGATTTTTGTAGACCTCAAAACATCACATCCTGAAATGTGTTTATAACATAGCCTTATTACATATTTACATTTGATTATTCAGTGTCTTTGATAGCCAAAATATGTTGGGATTTAATTAAGGCTGTAACTATATGAAGCAGCTGAAGGTTGAGTAAACCTGTTGTAATGACTATCTTATGTTAATATTTACAGAGTCTGTTCTAGGAGGTGACCAGGTAGTTGCTGTCAGATCATGTCTATGTGACCTGATATACATGCAGGGCATGACAGAATTGATCCAAGGGCTTTTAGCAACTAAACCTTCAGGAATCAGAATGCTAGGCAGCTCATTAACATATAGCTTCAACCCAGAAGACAATTAAGAAGCGATTAAGGAGTTCCTGTCCGTTTAGCAATTTATGATCTATCATTCATGCCCCCTTTTTAAACTTCCTTTAAGGGAATTTGACTACCTTTTCCATAATAATCTGATTTTAATATGGTAACAAAATACTCTGGTTTCTATTGTATTAACTTAAAATATAGAGTGCCTTTGTTTTTCTAAGGCTTACTTATATATAAGCCTGAATTTTCTATGATAAACTGCTTTAAGTATACAAATTTATTTCCTTGAAATGTTCTTTATTTTTAGGAACTAATAATGTATTGAATCCATTTATAGAAGTATATTTCCATACTTGCTATTTATTATTATTTCTGATGAAATTCATGCTATTTTTTCCCCTTCAGAGTCATATGAAATTTTTTTTTTGAGTACAAAATTGTTAGCATAAAACCACTTTGGAAGTTTCTGCTTTTTATTGAAGTGAATGTGTTTGACAGAGGTAATTGAGTTCACATGAATCAAATGTTGCCTGCTGAGTTCTCTTGTGATTATGTTGCTGACTTACTCAGATGCAAGGCAAGACCACTAATCTTCATCAGTTGCTAGTGGAATGAAGTAGTAATTTGAAATTACCCCTAGATGATTATAGTTTCACTTATATCAAATGGAGGAAAGAGATTTAGATTGTGGGTCACTGCCAAAACCAGTCAGAGTAAAGAAGGTATATAGTGCATATTCAAATACAGGGTAAGGGGGGTTACATGCCAAGGACTGTGGAGAAAAAGCACTTATTAATTATCCAACTGGGAGATGATTGCCCAGCAAGGAAAATGTAGTGAAAATACTGAGCTCAAGAAAGAGCCTTGACTCAGAAACAGTACAGATACTGCAGGAAGCAGTACGTTGATCATTCAAATTTCTGGTGCATATTTCTGTTTGAAACAAAATTGGCTGGAAATTTTGTTTATTACGTGTTCATGTGATTATACATTGGAGAGTCTAGTTATTTTTAATTAGGCATATTACCAAAAAACATCAAAGGGGTTGAACTTTTGGTCCTATTTGGTCTGCTCTTTTATGCAACAAAAGGAAACTAATTTTAATTTCAAAATTTTAACAAAACACAGAAATTATGGAAGCACAGTGTATCAGTGATGTGTGAGTGTTCTTGTGTTTGTGTGTCCTACTGCTGCAAACCACCACTAGACAATTAAGTATTTGTCATTTTATCCATATGCAGGTATTACACATAAGAATAATGAAATAGATTT